GGGGGGGGACTCAATTGCAAAGAAGCCAATTATTTTGGAGAAACTGCTTGTTTGCACTTTTTAGTGTTATTTTTGGTTCACTCCAATTGTGTTATGCTTTGCAATCAATCTCAAAATGTGTTTTCCCCAGTCGTTTCTTATTTTATACCTATTTGTTGTGTGTGTGTGTGTGTGTGTGTGTGTGTGTGTGTGTGTGTGTGTGTGTGTGTGTGTGTGTGTGGGTGAGACAATAAGGCACTGTAGTTGATATTTGGTACCATTTGGAAGGAAACTTGTACAATAAAAGGTTATGCAAGAAGCACAGGTCACCACCCGGCCCATCCATCTCCTCAGACTTGTGTATCCTCCTCTCAAACTTTTCAGGATGCTTTTTGCTCTCACAAACAAGCAAACACTGTATTGTTTCGCAACGTAAAGTGTGCTTACCGCTGCAGATATACCAACAAATATTAGTAGCTGTTTCTGCCGAAACATGTTAAGCTCTTCTTTTTTTTTTCACTTGTTGACAAAAAGAGTAAATAATGGATTTGACATTTTGTCTTGTTCTTTTGCTTCAGGGTAAATAACCATCTTGGGTTGTGTTTCTTTTTCCCCTCTTGCATCATGTGTGAATGTTTTGTCCCCTCAGGGAGCGAAAGGAGAACATCCAGAATACCAAAGATGGCTCCCGTCCATTTAGACATCCCATTTTCAAATAGCTTTACCAGAGGAGGTGAGTGTCACACAATGCTCTAAATTAAAAAGCAACGGATGCAGTTTTGTTGTATCTCCAGACACAAACTTTACATCATAATCCATGATAACGTGCATATTGTGAAGTAAGCAATAACTAAAAATAAAACAACAAAATGAGTCGACTGATGACTGGACCATGACTTGTATTGACTTGTTGTCAGATAAATATTACTGTAAATGTAATCACACAAGAATGTGAAGCGTTCAGAAGAGTCCATTAGCACTGAATGTTTGATCTTGACCTAAAGACATTGTGCTTAATGTCAGTGTATATCTCAGGAATTAGTCATTAGATCAAGGTCAAAGGTGAAAAGGCATTTAGGCTAAATCTTCATTTTGGGACAGATTACTCAAGGTTGTTGATCCATACAGTTAGTGCTCAAATAAATGCTCGCACTGTGTTTGCCCCCAGAAGAAGAGTGACAATGCCAAGAAAATGTCAAAACCTAACTGGTTTCATTCATCTAGCAAACTTATGAAATCGGTGATTATGTTGCTTCATTCTCCCAGCACATTCTTTTTCAAATCCCAACTGGCTGCTCCAAAGGTGGCCGTAACCTTAATCACTGCAGTGGGTTGGGACACGTAATCCACCTCCAATTAATCGGCATGCTCCCACATTAGTTCTTTGTAAATTGCCTGGATGACCTTTCCAAAAAAATGTAGCCACATTCCAGAGCGTTTTTCTTATGAGCCTTCAATCCTGTCATGGCAGTGCTGGAATAAATGGAGCAAGAATGCTTTTTTGAGATTACATTGCAGTGTGTTTTCAATGTTTTTGAAATATTTCTATTGTTAAAAAAAACAAAAAGAAACACTGAGAGTCTTCCAGAAACCTGCATATCAATCATTTTCATGCCAGTGTGGTGTGTGTGTTTGTGGAGTGAACCATTACATACATTATCTCACTACCAGACATAACCGCGAATGTCGTGCATGCAACCCATATGACTCATTTTCAAAATATAAAGGTTTTTAAATGGGCCGTGCAATTGTTGACCTTTAGCTCTAACTCTTCATTCCGACCATGCATGACCGTGTGCGCTATGTCAAGATTAAATGTTTTTATGACACTGACGTTCGTTATTTTTCATGTTCATCTTGACCTCTTCTACACAACCGCCACGCAGTGCTTGAGTACAGAGATAAACTATTCACTCACTCAAACCCAAAACCTACCAATCAGGAGAGAATCCACAACCAAGGTAGAGTGCAACTGCCCCCCCCCCTCCTGCCCCCCCTGTCCTCCCCCGCTTTCTCTTTCAAAGCTGAGTTTCATTCTAACACCTCAGCTGTCCTCTCAAAAACTAACAAGACACCAGGCATATCGCCATTCCCCAAAGTGCCTCTGAGCCACTAATGACTAATCATCACTGGAGTGAAATAAGTGCACCTCTGGGAGCTGCGGTTTTTCCCAAACCCAAGTGGCCGCTCTGATCTGGCCTATTCCACGGCTAATATGTTGGCTCAGCAAGGCCCGCTGTGGTCAGTTGGAAGCCAAGTACTGACTGCGGAGGGAAGGAAGCAGTTTATCCTGGCAGACCATCATGAATCAAATGAAATGAGGCACCTCTGACCGTGCACGTAGTTCAGTGAAGACAGCCCAGATAAAAATCTCGATGAAATTCAAAAGGAATAACTCATTCTAGTCCCAGCGAAGCAGCAAGACAATAAACACCAATTGGTTGTAGGATTTCTCCCATCATTCATTACTTCAAACTGTCTGGGATCATTTTTGAAATGTCAACTTGAGATGTTTCATTTTAGCTGGAGTCAGAGGTTGCCGGAGTTTGTTTTTAGCACTCTCGGGTCATAATGGTGAAGATATCTTGAAGTAATCAGTTTTGATGTTAAACCAGGAAAAGGTGTTCACTTAGCTGACATAGTCACACTCTATGGGCAAAGGTATTAGGACATACAATACACTGGGGCCTTGAGATAGAAGTCACCTTACTTACGAGGTTTCCGCGATATGACTCATTGGTCGGATTAGTATTTTTGCTTTGACTTGCAAGCAAAATTTGAGATATGAGCTTTGTTGAGTGGCAGTGAACTCAACAAGCGCATGTTTGGCAGATCATGAATAAATCTTTAAAAACACCAACAACAAAAAAAAAACTGGCTCCAGGCTGTTTATTTGCAATTCCAATTGAAGTTTACTGTCAGACCGAACCGAACATAGAGATTTACATATTATGCATTTCAAGGGACAGTGTGTAGAAAGTTAGATGTTTTCAATAATTTACAAAATCATCACAAAAATAATACAACATTAAGTTTTGACATGACTTATCATCCATCCATCCATCAATCATCTGAACCACTGATCGTCACAAGGGTCGCGGATGTGCTGCAGCCTAACCCTCTCTTTGGGTAGCAGGCGAGCTACACCCTGAACTGGTTGCCAGCCAATTGTAGGGCACACAGAGACAAACAACCATTCGCGCTCACAATCACACCTAGGGACAATTTAGAGTGTTCAATCAGCCTGCCATTCATGTTTTTGGAATGTGGGAGGAAACCAGAGTACCCGGAGAAAAATCCATGCAGGCACGGGGAGAACATGCAAACTCCACACAGCACAGCCGGAGGCCGGATTCAAACCCTCAACCTCTGTACCCTGAGGCGGATGCGCTAACCACTCAGTTGTATGCAACCTTTTGACTGCAACTGTATCTCTCGATCTTAACCTGAATTCCTAATCAATTTGGACAATTCCATACTTCCAAATTTCAGAGGTTGGGTTTGGGAGAACTGTAGAATCATGATCTTAAGTCCATAAAATAACTTTGGCAATAAGTAGAACAAAGATTTTGAGTTCGGCCCCTTCATACAATATCAAAATGTTCAGCTGAAATAACTAGACAGACACTTATCCTGCTCAGTGTGATGTCTCTGTGACCCAATACCTTTGTCGTTGTGTATCTTTTTTATGGCAGCAGACAGAAAAAAAAAAAAAACTTAAAAAAAATGGTTGCAAGGGATTACTGTGAAATGTCCTTCCCTTCAGTAGTTCATGATGTTTTCGATGCATGCTGGTTTTTCCAAGGAACTGCTTGTGGATTTAGTGACACGCTAAAAAAAACAATCCATCACCTCCTGCATCTAACATCTCATTGACCGATTCAAGGTGCAAACGTCTTTGCTGGTGCATGTAAAGAATGAAGGTGTTTACGTTATCCTGTTTGCTGCCTGTAAACTCCTTCTGCATGTCTTCATCACTCAGTCTTAGTTTGTTTGACAGCATGTGTACATCAGGGCCATTGTGAATGAACACGTGAGTGTGTGTATGTGTGTTGTGATTTTTGTTTGTGTCTCTGTGTTTTTACAGGCATGTGGGCCAGCCTGCGCTCCAGCAGCAGGCTGAGCCAGCACCCATCCACAGTAAGCGTGGGCGCCAGACTCGCAGGGAAAGATTTGGCACCCCCTGCAGGGAGTAACAGCCTACAGGCCCAGCTACTCAAACAGCAAGCTGCCTTCTATGTGTTTGGTGAAAAGTCACATTTGAAGGTAAGAATGGAGAATCCACAGGGCAACTTTTGCCAAAAGTTGTACGAAGAAGTTCAACACGCTTTCTTTTGACACAAAACTGATAACATTTAGAGCAGTTACATCGAACTGTAATTCCTTATCGCTGTGCGGCAGAGAAAGATCATCGGGTGTGTCATAGCAAGAAGAGGTCAGAAAACTTATTTGCTTTAAAAAATATATGTAGTTTTTAGTTTTGATTAATCTATATTTGCCAGCAGTGTACAGTGACTAATTGTCAGTCCATCACGCCATCAGTTATTTTAACCACGCCTTCCGTTATTGCTAAATTACACAATTTTAGGATCAGTACATTTCACCAGTCTCTCAGTCAGTCCAAAAAAAAAAAGGTCACAGTCCAACAGATGAAAAATTCTATATGATTAAAATGGTAAATGAAGTGCACTATCTATCAGTGTAGCTACATTGTATACAGCAGGAGCTATATACGATGTAGCTACACTGATGCGTGCTGGCGGCTGCCTGCCGCTATTGTAACTTCTAAAACGTCAAAACGTTAAACGGTTTTCAAGTTTAAAATGGCTGACTTCAACCCGGATCCCACTCCGCAGAATCCAATCCAAGTCGCTCGCAATCATGCTCCTGTCTATAAATTCATCCATTATCTGTCAGACCAAATGCAAGCTTTTGCTTTCTCTGTCTCTTTGTCCTTCTCCTCCTCCTCTTCTCCTCCTCCTCCTTTTTCGTCTGCATACCGCCACCTGTACTGGAACCGCAAAGCGTTCCATATATGCATATTTGCAGTCTGCTCGAAGCAACCCCAGTGTACACACACGAGACAGGCGGCGCATGTTTCTGTCAGCCGTCAGTGACGGATTAACAGAGCTTCCATCGGACGGACGAACTGCCCACCATATACAAATAACTGCACTAGCACTTTACACAAATGGTATTAAGTCATTAAGATTGCTTTTCAGCATTTACACATAAGAATAAATATTGCTCAACCACAGACAAATAAGCACTGTCAGTCATTTTATATTTTGGTGGGGATACTATGAGGTTTTCCTAATGTAAAATGTTTTCCTTCGTTCAACATAAAAGTGATGAAAAATTGGATTTGGATTCAGATTTGTCCTGGAGAAAGCACAGCGTATATTACACGGAAAGACCCGTGCTGTGTGTTACTTTGTGCAGGGCCTCAGAGTGGACACCTCTCTGAACTGTGAACTGGTACCGGTGGACTTCTCAGACATGCGGCAAGTGAAGAGCTCCTTTAAGAAGCTGCTGAGGGCTTGCGCTCCCAGTGCCAACTCCTCCGACTCCGAAGACTCCTTCCTCAAAGCTTTGGAAGACTCGGAATGGATCCTGCAGGTGACGATTTTTTTTTTTTTTTTTTCATCGAGCTTTTTGTGCAATGTCCGTCATGTCGGTCTTCGCTCTGACCCTCTGTAGACTTTGTTCCTTTTTCGGATATGTATTCGTCATGGTCAAAAAGTAGACAAGAAGTAACAAAGCAACATTTATAAGGGATTAACTGCTGAGATAAATTGTCCATATGCCCATTTGTCACAGCTTCACAAGATCCTGCAGCTGGCTCTCTTTTTGGTGGAGCTCCTGGACAGCGGCTCATCTGTTCTGCTCAGTCTGGAGGACGGCTGGGACATCACCACACAAGTGAGAATGTTGCACAAGTAGGGCCTTTTTTTCCTTAAAAAAAAAAAAAGTAGAAAAGAAGACAGATGCATAAGATTTCCAAAGAAATTGGAAAGTTGGCACCTTGAGAAACTAAAACAGACATTTTGTCTTTCCCAGAAAGCATTAAAGCAGTCATACAAATACAAACATCACATTCACGCCTGAGGGAAGCTTAGAATCTTCAATTAACCCAACTTGCATGTTTTTGGATTGCGCCAGTAAAACGGAATAACTGGCGTAGACCCACACATTCATGAAGAGAGAAAGGGTTGAGCTGAGAGTTGAAACTCAGGACCTTAGTCTATGGCTGTGGACGTGCTCACCACATGGCCCAATCTGCTGACTCCACTGGGCGAAGCAATGATTTAAAATAGCCTTCAATGATAGTGTAGCCTTTATGAAAGTAATACACTTGATAAAAATGTGGTTTCCCGTTACGTTTGTGTGATTTCGCAATCATCCAGGTTATGGTAATCTGCAAAGGTTGAAACGAGGCAACGGGACTCTTGTTGACAGTTCCGCAACATTAAGGCTATAAATATGAAAAGATGTAATTCCTCATTCCCGTTCGAAATGGTCAAACATTGAGCGCTCTATGAAATTGAAAGAGTCCGCATTCAAACACTTTCTGACGCTGGATGGCCGCTTCTCCTTTTTCATGACCGCCGTTCTCATAAAATGGGTTAAGCCCGACGTGAAAGCAAGCTGGCTGTGTCAAAAGCGATAGATCTCATTGAGGTTGCCTTTTGTTTTTCCTGCCATGGTTTGCTTTCTCTTGAGTATCTCATTCCCAAACACAGTCCAAAAAGTCCCTCAAAATCCCCCCGTGAGTCAAAATATTGCAAGGTATGGAGGCTCTGACCCCACTTCAGAGCAGCCCGTGTAAGAATCACAAAAATGTTTTCTCAGCTCATCTTCCAGCCGATTGTGTCACTGTTGAACTCATCGTGCAAAGACGGATTTTGAGAAGGGTTGAGGTTCTTAAAGCCTGATGTCACCAAATTGTGCTGAATTCAACCCGAATGGTTTCTGATTGTGTTTCCAAGGCATGTAAACACTTGTCAGGGTCCTTTCCGTGTCCACGTTTCGTCATGCTCATTGCTCATATTTTCCATGTTGGTGTTGCAAGCGCGCGGCCATCAGAAGTGTTTACGGGGTGTCTAAAGCCCCGGACTGCTGTCTAAAGTACACTTTGAGGGTGCCTCATACCAGGCTCATGTTGGTCCTGAGACATTCTCTCTCTACGGGACACCGGCTTCGTCTCGCAACGGTCCTGGTCAGGCCCGCGCGGCCAAATGGCGTCCATGTGCTCTGGCTTCTCTCTCCACGGGCCATAGACACCCAGCAGACAGGATACACGACTTTCTTTTCTGCTATTCCCCCCCAAGTCCTCATTTTTGTCTCTGTGGTCTGCCTGTAATTTAAGTGCCTCGTATCTGTGCCAGGGCGCCAGCGGCTTTCTCTGTCACTTAGTGTTGGACGCTAGAGTAAAGCCCGCCGGCAAGCCATGAATCCCCCCGCACTCCTCTCATTCCATCTCTGTCAGGGCTCATTAAAGCGTCGGAGGTGACATGGGCAGGAAGGCCCGCCAAACATATTGCATGTGTGGGCAAGTGGCGTGAGCCTGAATTTAACTAGCCTTTGTTATATAAGTGTTATTGATAACAGATGATCGGTTTGACATTGGCATCCGCTTCAAAGCGGGGGTGCATGTATGCCATGTATGACAAATATGCCCGGCGCTGCTTTGTGACTGGTCTTTTAGCAAGCCGCCTCTTCCCTTTCAGTGGTAAAATGATTAACTGCCATTTTTTCCCTCTAAAATGATTATGAAATGCTGTCTGATGACAAGAAATCCCTTTCCAAAAGTGTCAAACTGTCAGTCTTCATCACCATCTAAAAGGCAGAGCTCATTCATGAAAAACGGTGATTTCCTGGCTTGAATATCAAGTTAGCGTTAAAGAATCCGCTATTGATGACATTTTAATTCCACACGGTATACACAGTACACTCTCTGTCTACAACATTAGATACACCGAGCCTTCAAATGTTGTGAAGCAAAACTCGGTTTGACATTTTTACAGCGAGGCTGTGTTTTAACAACTGATTCTCATGAGGACACCGCAATTTTCATGGAAACTCACATTTGAATTGTCATCTCATCATTCCACCTTTTTTTTTTTTTTTTTTTTTTGTGTCATCTGTACAGGTGGTGTCTTTAGTGCAGCTCCTGAGTGACCCTTTCTACCGCACTCTGGAGGGCTTTCACGTGCTGTTGGAGAAAGAGTGGCTCTCCTTCGGCCACAAGTTTAGCCAACGAAGCAACCTGAGTCCCAGCAGTCAGGGCAGCGGCTTTACACCCATCTTTCTGCAATTCTTGGACTGTGTGCACCAGGTGAGTATTTATACTAGCAAAGATGCGTCCACCTCTCTTTCTAAATGAACCCAAATCATTCATATCTTCTACATGAGCTCATCACATTCACAAAGACAGAATAGATGTGAGGGCGAAGAAAGGAACAAGCGCAAAGCCATGCATTTGCTTTCGTTTTGCGCTTGCAATTCCCAAGCGTGATTTCAACGGCGTCTCGCACCAGCGAAGGCTGTGGCCCAGATGCTGCGTGAACCCCGTGATCGGCATAGAACTGTCTGTGCTCGCGTGTTTCAGCATCTCTTCGCATTTGGAGCAACACGTGAAAAAGTACCGTTTGGGGGATTGAGAGGAAGGCTCATGTGTGCGTGTGGGGCTTTTGGAGGGGGCTTTAAGAATGAAGTGCAAACACATGAGGTTCACGCTAAAATGCTTACTTTAGACAATATTGTGTATTAATGTGCACACCCACTGACATCAACGCATAGTTTCTGCATTTGTCTTTTGAAAGGGTAGTTTTGGCAGATGACAGGAGTGGGGGTGCGGGAGGTGGGGTGGGGGTGGGGGTGTCTCTGGAGCGTTCTAAACAACGGGATTTCAGATAAGAGCTGAAAATAGAAGTGCCTCATGTCCAAAACAGCTGTTGTTTTCGCCAGCAGACCCAGGTGGCCTCAAATGTTCAATGGCCACTTCACTCTGTTGGGTGGGAAGATTGGCACTTGATGACTGTCTAGCTTCAGATCATGCAGTGATGACATAGTTTGCCCCCAAAAGACCAACCTCACTTCTTTCCTGTTCAAAATTAAGTCATTCCGGCCCTGGTGGGGCGTAATGCCACTAGGATATGGTTCAGCTGTCATACTGGAGCTTCCTTTTTCCGGTCTCACCAGTGTTGGGCAAATTATTCAGTAAAAGTAATGGATTACGTGCACCAAGTCCGTGACGTACAATCTCATCAGTGATCGGCAAATTGGTTTCCAGTTACCTTCCTGCTTCAGTCACAACAGTGGGAAAAATGAACAGAAAAGCTGGAGCACATAAACTGCCAGAAAAGTGTAACTATAAAGTGAGGGATAATTTTTTTAGTGCAAGACCACGTCGAGTGGCTCAAATGTGCACCATTTGATCGAGCAACTTTAGATAGTACTCATTTTTCTGGCATATTCCCACTGTTGGGAATGGAGCGGGAAGTTAATCGTCCGCTATTTTGCCAATCACTGGGGAGATGTCAAGGATCTGATGCACGTCGTAGTTCCAAGTAACTGAATTGAATCGGTACCTGAAATACTTTAAACAACTGACTGACAGACATAGACATACTAAATAAAGTCAGAAAATGTCACACAGCTTCCAGACAGCGGCAGGTTCTGGCATGCGCCATACGTGAGGTTGCACTGGGCAGCGTTTCTGAGATGGGCAACAACATGGGGGTTTGTGATGGTGGGGTATCATTCAAGCGGGGGTCCGCCACTGCTTGCTTACAGAATATTGGTACGTGCTATACTTAGGTTATTTCCAACCCTGCATTAACTGTGTTTGTGTATTTGTGTGTAACCTGTCAGATTTTGATGCAGCATCCTGTGGAGTTTGAGTTCAATCAGTACTATCTCAAGTTCCTGGCCTATCATCACATCTCCAACCGCTTCAAGAACTTCCTGTTGGACTCAGACTACGAGCGCTTGGAACATGGTGGGTCTTCTTTTGCATCCAAACCAGCAGATTGTTTTTTGATAAATGTTTTTTGATTAATATTTATTTTTATTGGACCCTTTGTTGCCGCTGTTATCATCTCACGTCATTCTCATTCACGCTCCCTGGCCAGATGACAAATCCCTTTGCAATTCCATCTTTTCAACACAAAGAAAGCAATCTGTGGAAGCAATAATTCTTGTTGTGTCTTCTCTTATTGTCTGACAGGCCTGTTATTTGACGATAAGGGTGACAAGCAGGCGAGGAAAGGCATCTGCATCTGGGAGTGCATCAACAGGATCCATCGGCGGAGTCCGATCTTCTTCAACTATCTGTACAACGCATCAGAGAGCGAAGTGAGTTTCTCTCTCGGGGTGCACTTTGTCTCAGTGCTTTTTCATCCTGACATGGTATGAGATGATCCACCATCCATTTTCAACCACTTCATCCAATTGCAAAAAAAGGTAAACTCTTACTTTTATGCCTCTCTTCACAAGAATAATACATCTATAATGCAGTGGTGCCTTGAGGTACAAGCTTGTTTTGTGACCGCATTCGTAACTCAAATGATCCTTTCCCACCGAAATGAATGATAATACCTTTAATACGTTCCAGTCTGACCCCAAAAAACAGAACAAAAAAAATGTAATGTGTATTCTAATAATGAAATATAGCACTTTGTAATGTTGTTCATACTAAAAACAGACAGTAATGATTCCATTCAGTAGAATTACCAGTACAAAGAATTAAGAATATATCATATTGAACCAATTACAAATGTTGCTCCCGCCTCGGCCACCTGAGGGCAGTGTAAGACATGCAGACAGATCCAACATACTCTTCAATGAGGTGTTATGAATCCATCTTGAGTTTTGGTCAGGCCTTGACTCTTTGCCGCAGCCAATCGTATTGCAGCAGGGCTTGGCCTGCTTAGTACTTGAGTGGAATTTTGTAACACTTCAAGCCCTCTCTGAGCTCATTAGTAGGATACAAATTTTGGTAAAATCTACACAGAGGATAAAGAGTATATGAGTACTGTTATATTGTCTTTATAGTATACATGCTTTTGCTGAGCCGTTTGTGTTGAATCTGTTTCTGACAGTCACGGCTTAACACCCTGCAACATGGATGTTCATTAGCATTAGCATGACGCGAGCGTGGCCTTTCATTAGGCAGTTGATATTTTAAATTCACAGAATGTAATTTTCTTTGTTTTGTGTTTAGTTTGACAGTAAACCCTCACTGTCTGTGGCAATAAACAACTTGAGGGCTCTTTTTTTTGGATGATCTGTTCACAATTTGCCAAATAGGCTGCTAATTGTAATTTGTGGTGCCAACATACAATGCTTGCATCTCAAGACTTCCGTCTCTCTTTGGTCGCGCGTATGTCAAGTCACCGCTGCTTAAGGGAAGACCATGAAAAAAAGAAACTAAACTTAAAATGGACATCGGAATCAGAACATTCGGAACCATGCCCGAAATACTGTACCTGGGGAGGCACCCATATTAGATGACCAAGCCACCTCGTGTGGCTGCTTTTATGCGGAGGAACTGTTTAGATGACAAAGTCTTGCCACTAGCCATGATATAGAGACTATATCTCATTCTCAATCACTTTCCAGTTGCTCATTTACCACAACAGTGGTCTTCAATTGTATAATGTTTCAAAACCGTTCTGTTCTCATAGACCATTCTCAAACCATCGGTTGCCATCCCCAACCTGAAGACGTGGGACTTCTTTACCGACGAGACGCTGTCGACGGGACCGTGTTACGACTGGCGACTGATGGCGGCGAGGCCAGACAGCTCTGAGGAGCCCCAGACCATCTCCAGCAGCAAGAGGAGAATCGTGTGGCCTTGCTACAGCAGCGTGAGCCGCGCTCAGCCCGATGCCATCACCAAGCTGCTCGCTGTAAGACTTTCAAACCTCAGACTGGTTTCTCTTCTGCCATTTTTTAAAATAATCCGTTTTTTTGTGTACTACAGGACATTGAGAAGCTGGAGGGAGAGATGAACCAGACCCCCGAGAGATGGCAAACCATTCTGGACCGAGTCCTCATTAGTATCCAGGAAGACCTCAAGCAAGAAGTAAATGTCGGTCTTTCTAGCCAGCCGTAGTTTAGAGCACATGTCACCAGATCGCAGGGATATATGATTCCTACTGACTCAATTACTTAAAACAAATTAAAAAAATAAAATGACAAAAAATAGCAGACCAGGAAAATTACACTTTTACAATTCGGATTGCTTTTTTTTTTTTTTTTTTTAACCCTTTCAGGGCCAGCCGTTACTACAGTGGACAGCTTATCATGTTATCAGGTTACAGGGTGCATGAAAGGGTTCATGTTGGTGACGTGATTATATCAGCCTCAATCTGAAAGTGGCTTCAAACACATCTGAGCACAGACCTGCTAGCAACCACAATTTTTCTATCCCACTCCAAGCTTACATGAAATGGTACATCCACATCGAACAGTCAGACATCCACACTACTTTTCCTGCAGGTCGGATCACCGTTAAGTGAATGCTAGGAGCTAAGCTAACTTGGTCCCAATTGCAAAAGAAACATAGTGAATGCATTTTTTGTCTTGTGTGTAAGTGTCAGGCCCTGGGTGTGGGTTCACCACCTGCGTCTTTGGAAGAAAAAAAAAACCCTCAATTTTCCTTCTCCACCACATAATGATCTGTCGTCTTGACCGCATTCTTGTGTTTTGCAGCTCTGCAAGCAGTCTCTGTCCATTTCCGGCCTCATTCCCACAACCAGCCTGCAGGCTCTCCAGCGGCGCTCCATGCTGCACCTGCCAGACAGCAGCCTGGTGGAGGACCGCGGCACGGCCACGTCCAATGGGATCAACCGGCGCGCCGCGACACTTTACAACCAGTTCACCCCCAAGAGCGAGGAGAACAGGTGGGACGTGAGACCGGTTGGGGGTTAACAGTTGATTTACTTAGGGCAGGCCTGATCCTGAGTCACAGCTGGAGAATGTTGTGTGATATGGTGGCGGTGAAGAGGTTCAAGTACATTATCTTGGCGCTCATCTGTGGATAATTTCCCCCCCCAGTCACACTTAGGAATACTATAGTTCCCCAAGTCAACTTCCACAGATGGAATTCCAATATAGTGTTGGAGGCTTGCAATCGTACGTGAGCACTTCTCACCCTTCCTCAGCGATGCCAAGTATTGATACATGATCATTCCAAATTGATCATCTTGCATCGGCACATCCGTGACTGTTAGAATGGCTTTCTTCGAACGCTGAAGTACAGATATAAATCTCCAAAGCACATGTGTGAAACTGTTGGAGAAACCCGCAGCTGGCCCCCCTCTTAAAACGGCAAGACTGCAATGTGCACAATGCTGTGTGGGGGTCACTATTTGTTAGTGTGAGCTACATCATGCTAACAGCATCCACCACATATGGACAGCCATCCTACTAGTGAGGACAAAGAACTCAATAGTACACGGAGCCTAAGGTAGATCTATAGGATATCGCCTAATAGGGCAACTCCACGTTATACGTGTGGCAAAACTGTGCACTAGTTGACAACAACCATCTACTTGTACTACTACACACTAGGGATGGGAATCGAAAAACACTTGTTTTTGAGAACCCAGTGATTCGGCTTAGGGAAAAGAAAAAGATGCACCGCTTTGATCGTAGTAAGACCTAGTAAAGCTGTACTGTATATCAAGAAAATGGCTCTCCATACTGGCAGGTCATACGAGGGTGTCCTGTACAAACGAGGAGCCCTGCTCAAAGGTTGGAAGCCTCGTTGGTTCGTGCTAGACATTACCAAGCACCAGGTGAGGCAACTTCCCGGTAGGGGGCACCAGACAGCGTTCAGACTTTGGGACCTGGCTCATTTGTCTTTGCAGATGAGGTACTACGACACCGGCGAGGACACCAATTGTCGAGGTCACATCGAGCTGGCAGAGGTGGAGTCGGTGCTCATCGCCGCGCCGACCACCGGCGCCCCCAAACACATCAGTGAAAAGGCTTTCTTTGACGTGAGTTCACGACATTCGTGTTCTCATTTGATCCCGAAATCATCAGCGGCAAAGTATGGATCGCCGGATGCGTTCAGTTGTATTTAATTGTTTCATCCAAAATCTTTCCCGTAGTTGAAGACCAGCAAAAGAGTGTATAACTTCTGTGCGTCAGACGCAGCCAGTGCTCAGCTGTGGATGGACAAAATCCAGAACTGCATCTCTGACGCCTGAAGCACGCCGCCGGGAGGTCGAGCGAGGTTATCCGTGCCGCGCCGTGTGGGCCGGAGGGGGAGACAGCTCGTCATCCCCCCCTTTCCGACATTTTCTTTTTTAGGGACCACAGCTGCCATTACAGCTCTCTGTGGAGCAGGAGGTAGGACCACTTCAAAGCAATAAGGCTTGCTGGCCGTCCCAACTGGGCGCCATTTTGTAACGGAGAAGAAGTTATATTTTACTACCAGGAGAAGTTACTGCTGCTCCGTGTTTATTGCACAACACGACAAGGCAATTTGTTGCACTTATCATCCCCCCCTTTCCGACATTTTCTTTTTTAGGGACCACAGCTGCCATTACAGCTCTCTGTGGAGCAGGAGGTAGGACCACTTCAAAGCAATAAGGCTTGCTGGCCGTCCCAACTGGGCGCCATTTTGTAACGGAGAAGAAGTTATATTTTACTACCAGGAGAAGTTACTGCTGCTCCGTGTTTATTGCACAACACGACAAGGCAATTTGTTGCACTTAGGAACCGTATGCACTCCTGAAGTGAGGCGGAAGCCATTTTGTTAGCTTTTCAATTCACACTACAAGTGAGCAGTCCCTCCAAGCTAGGTTACATGTTCAATTAAAGATGGAAGCGAAAACAACAATTTGCACAGCCAGTTCAAAAGTTACCTGACCTTGTTTTATTTAAATGTTTTTTTTTTGTGTGTGTGAAATGTCCATTAGGCCTAACAATGTTGTTTCGTGGCTTGTAAATTATTTTTTTTAAGGAAAAATTTCCGTGTCCTCGTTTGTGTAAATATTTGTCGCCTTTTGATTTTGTAAAGCAAACCTTTTCTAACCTTCCTGACGTCACTAATAATTGTTTCTTGAAAGTTACTGTTGCAAATACCCGAGTGGCCTTCTTTGTCAAAAGGAAGACTTTTTGTTTTTGTCTTTTTAGGCCTTTTAAACAAAACAATTATGTCTTTTACTGTTGCATCAAAACAAAATGAAGCAATTCAAAGATATCAGCAGCTTTGTTACTGCATCCTTTTACTGTGTTGTTGTGCCAACACTAATTGTGTTTTTTGGGGGGAAATAAACAATTGAAATGCAGATTGTGCTCTTACTGGTGCGTGCGTGCGTGCGTGCGTGCGTGCGTGCGTGCGTGTGTGTGTGTGTGTGAGTCAACCTTCTCTCACGATAGAACAACATAAGCGGCTTCATTCCCATCAGTGGTTTTCCGGAGCAATTGTGACTTGCAGTGAGTTAGTTGGCTATTTTCCTTTCAGATGGTACGCTGGCGTGGCGTGGCCGTGTTCGAGTGCTTTGTTGTTGGCTGTGAGTTCACACAGAGAGAAACTACATTTAAGTTTCAGTGTTCAGGACTGTACCATAAGAAAGACACTGGGCAAAATGGCAACCATGGGAGAGATCCCAGGCGAAAACCACTGCTGTCCAAAAAGAACACGAAGGCTCGTCTCACATTTGCCAAAAGACATCTTGATGATCCTCAAGACTTTTGTAAAAACATTCCGTGGAGTCATGAGTGGAAAATAGAACTTTATGGACGTTGTGCGGCCTGTTACGTCTGCAGTAAAAATGTTACCGCGTTTAATAAAAAGAACATTATGCCAACAGTGAAGCATGGTGGTGACAGTGTAATGGTCCGTGGCTGCTTTGTTACCTCAGGACCAGGACAACTTGCTGTGATTGATGGGACAATGAATTCTGCTGTCTACCAGAAAATCCTTAAGGAGTACATCTGACAATCAGTGTGTGCCCTCAAACTCATGCGCACTTGGATCTTGCAGCAGGACAACGATCCGAAACACCAGAAAGTCCACCTCTGAATGGCAAAAGAAAATATATATTATCGCCCAAACCCCAATTGCCCAAAGCCCAATCGCCCCGAAAATGGCTAAATTAGCCCTCAAAAGTCCTTATAAGGTCCATAAATAAAAAGCAAGTGGAAGAGTGGGAACCCTGTCCAGGTGTGACCTTAATTTAAACGGGCAGTTCATGCTAGACAACTCTCCAATATGGCGGAGTTGAAGCAATTCTGCGAAGAAGAGTGGGTCAAAATTCCTCCACAGCGATAGGAAAGACTCATCAGCAATGATTGCACACACTTGATTTCGGTTATTGCTGCCATGGTCAGAAGGTGTTGAGGGCTGAAGTTCACCAGAGAGGAAGCCGCGCACAATCAAAAAAGTTCATACGAGTGGACTGAAAAGTTTAAATGTCTGGGCAAGCGTGGACCAGGCAGAAGGAGGAGGACGTCCATCAACCTCGACCACTAAAGAAAACAATAAACAAGCTCCTTGGAAAACATGATGGTTGCATCCACCATCTAAGACTCGAACCACTTTCATGAATTGTGACCCTACTTCAAAACACCTCTTACCCCTCAGCCTCTCCACCCTCCGTAACCATTGTAGGAAGGAAGCCCTCTGACCAAATTTCAGAAAAGCTTTCCAGCAGGAACTGTGGAACCATGCCACGGCCACAGACTTTTTCTTCTCTTGTTGAATTCCTGCAAAAAGAGCCCATGAGGAGGATGCGGATATTTGCTATAATCCACTTGGACAAGCAAGCATTATTGTTGTTACGTAAGCACAATGTGGTGAATAATACTTCAACTATGTAAGCAACAATCAATACCAAATTGAGTCCAGGGCCTGTAAACTGGGCACACAGACCCAACAAGTACACAGAGATGATGCCACTTTACATCATTATGCCTCATATAATTGTGTGTGTGTGTGTGTGTGTGTGTGTGTGTGTGTGTGTGTGTGTGTGTGTGTGTGTATACACATATACATATATATATATATATATAAGATAACCTGGGACAAATAAAGGTTATCTTATCTTATATCATCTCGGGTCCTGCCTCGATAAGTGAAAAACCGCGGAGGGTTGGCTCCGCCCTAGGAATTTTTGTGTATGTGGGTACCAGCAGTTTATGTAAATAGTATTTATACTTTACATATTTGCGACAAAAACTACAGCAGTACACGTATTTATTTAAATCTTCAATTATAAAACCGTTTACTGAAATTAACATTCATCAGCATTGCCTTCTGAAAGAGACAAAGAGACTTGTGTTACTCTTACTTGCCGTTAGCCTCCAGCTAGCTCCTGGCCAGCTATCCCTGCGCAGCCGATGTGTTTATGATAAGACAATTAATCAGTATTGATGAGGAGCGGGCGAAGAGAGACGTGCTGCTTTTTTCGGACAAGCCCAATCACCCTCTCTCTCTCTGAAAAGAATCAAAAACCATGAAGTACAATTTCAATTTGTTGGTGTCTGTACATTACCATGAACAAATCGTGAAACAGAACAAGGCCTGAGGCCTGCCTTGATGCTCGTGAGTCTTGTTGATGTGTTTTTGTGGTGCCGGTGAAACTTTTGGCCCATGAGGTCACCCAGCAAATACACATCTGTCAGACTTTTTTTTTCAATGCAGAAGAATGTTCCCAATCAGTTTAGATGAGGAAATGTAGGAGATGAATCCAAATGAATTCGTTGCGGGTGATTTTCGGTGTGAAACATGAGGCGAGACAACTGGAGATGTTCTCTCGGTTGGAATGCTTGTGTGATTGTGAAAGTTGGACATGTCGGGGGAGGAAGAGGCACCGCATTTTTATTCGCTGAGATATAAATACTTTGCATACGTAGAAGAAACCATGTGCTCTTTTCGAGGAGCAGGGGTGAACTTACTATTTAGGTCAACATGGAGGATTGAGCCAACTATGTCTTAAAAAAACGATTTATATTATTTGATTGAAAGAAATGTATTGTTTTAGTCTGAATCAATGTTCTTAAAACCATTAATAAATCCGTCTTCTACCGTAATCGTTTGGACTGCACATTCGTCTTCCTTCTCACGTAATGGCCCAGTCCATCCTCTTACTGCAGATACATCAGGATTTTATTTTTTTATTGCTGTTGTTGGATTTAAAACTAAATCTGACAAAAATGTTGATAAAATATTAATTTCACCTCTGATACAGACTAATCATAATGACTAACAATCAGTTAGGTATGATGTACACGTTATATGTGCAGTGTATTATATTAATTGGCAAGATCTCTTTGTACATGATATAGCTTGATCAAATACACAGAAAGACGGCTCGTTGAACTATTTAACCTGTCACATGATTTAGCATTATGAGCTAAAAATAATGAATTAAAGAACAGTGACACCTGGTGATCCTCAAGCACAATTTGTAGCATGCAGCAATTACCGATATTGGATTTGAACAGGTGTAAATGTACAAAAAAAAATATGTCATCAATCTCCGAAAATGATGGCCAAAGTCATATGTTGGAAAAAAAATGTGCACCAAACAACTCAGGATGCTGGCCACCTCTGCTAAATTCGATCTACATTCTTAGTTAAACCGATCATTCAACTGTAACAGTCAAATGAATTGACCAATAAATATAATCAGGGTTTGGTTCAATTTTTCGTGTTTTCTGAAAAAAAAAGGTGGGTAAAATTGATTTATGAAGGTGACGATAACGACAATAAAAATGCGACGTTAAAATGTTTCGATTGAACTTTTGACACGTGTCATGACAGACTGAGTAGGATGGTCTTGTGCTGCCCTCTAGTGGACACTCGCGGTCAGAAGAAAGTAAGAAAGAAGTACAATATACAGGAGGCATGCATCTTGGATTGTATCTATTTTTTAATGAGTAAAGCAACAGTCTATCACATGCTGTGACATGATAAATGAGAAAAATGAGTCAATCCAGTACTATGCAGTAAACCATTTGGTCAATGGAGTCAAGGTACCACTGTGTGTAATCGACAAATGGGATGTGGGTGGGAAGAGAAAAAGATTTCAAATTGTTTTAAGGTGTTGTCATTGTTCCTTCATGAACTTTGACCTTGGTGATTCTTGCTCTCCTGCCAGAACTTCTTCCTCAGCTCAAGCTCCACGTCGGTCACCGAGGCCGGCCCCCAGTTGGTCACCCTCTGGGGACCCTTGTGGCCTACAAGACAACACAGTGATGTCTTTGAACCAGACGACGACAAAGTGCTCATCATGTAGGCAACAACAACACAAGCAAAAAAATCACCATGTTCTGAACTCCTCTTTCCACGCTAGTGTTATTTGATTTATACCCGGAGGACTTGCGCTATGTAAAGTTAATGGGTACAAGTAAAAGATGTTATTTTAATAACAAAATATGGTCATTGTATTATCAGCGTAATATTTCAAGTTAATTATAGTGCATTCACCAATGATTCAATAAAATAATTTAAAAAGGTTTCATATATATTTTTATTTGGTTTAAGTAATGTTTCATTTTATTTAATTTTTTATGATAAATCAATAAACCAATCAATTGGATAACCGAATAGAAAGATTTAACTGTAAAATAATTTTTATAATAGGTGAACAATTACTTCCCTCTTTAAAATTATTTATAATTCAGTTAATTATAAATCACCAATTATTTAATAAACTAATTTTCAAAACTTGGATTTTACATTTCTCATTTCAGTGTTTTATTTTATTACAATCAATCAGATTAATAAGATAATGATAAAAATCGATTTTTAAAATCCTATAATTTTCACAAAAAATATATAATTGTTTTGTAATATTCAGAAATGATTTGAGTATACTGCATTCAGCAATTATGATGTGTATGTTGTATAAAAAAATGCAAATATTAAATGTACATTTTAAATTGTTTATTTTAGCATGATGCCGTACTTTCATATTTTCAGTAAATCAAGCAATCAATGAATGACATCATTATGGCAAATAATAAATCATTCTCCATTTAACATGATTTATAAGGATTGTTTTGGTTGACCATTTCCGATAAATCAATTCACCAATTATTTCACGAGATAAACGAATAAATAAATAAAAATGACTACATCGAAAGAAAAAAAAAACTTTGTACCTGGCTGGATGAGACGCACCAGTCCTTCATGTTTGGCCACTTGGTCTTTCCACTTCTTGGTCTTGTTCGAGGCTCGCTCCAGATTCCTCGACACCTCCTGTGTGATATGGACACAGGCGCATAAGAAAGTATGTACAGGGACGCTGTCACGGGGAGAAAAGAGATGATGATTCGAAGGGCAGGTGACCGACAGGGGACCGAAGAAGTAGGAATAAATAATGGTGCAACTATCTCAGTCAATTCGGGATATGGTAGAGAAATACAGCGAAATTTCTTTCGCTAGTTCAACCCTCCTGCATTCTCATGAATGCGCACAACCAAGGGGAGGGGAAAATACAATATTGGCACCATGAAGCTCATTAGCCCATAAAAATCCATACATTAGGGTCAAAGCATTGAATACACCACAAATTAGGGCTGAACGATTTTGAAAAAATATATACAGTATATAGAAAATATTTCCAAAAATGTACAAGTGTTGTTTATCGCTTCCTCCCACATTCCAAAAAACATGGCAGGTTAACGGATGGTTGTTCGTCTCTCTGTGCCCTGCGATTGTCTGGCAATCAGTTCAGGGTGTCCCCTGCCTACTGCCCAAAGACAGCTGGGATAGGCTCCAGCACGCCCCGCGACCCTTGTGAGGATAAAGCGGATCAGATAACGGATGGATGTTTCAGCCCGAGTAGTCATTCCACAATCCCGCTGACCTCGTACTTCTGCAGAGCACCGTGTCGCTCCGTCTCCACCCTCTCCAGCTGCACCACGGCGGCCTGCAGCTCTCGCTCCTTGTCCAGCCGCTCGGCCTCCAGCTCCTGCTTCTCGGCTTGGGTTTGGCACAGCGCTTGCTTCTGCTGCAGGTGGAGGCACTCCAGCTCCGCCCTCCTGGCGGCCTCCTCCTCCAGCAGCCTGTTAGGGGAATGCACTAGTACAGTTTTTGTCATGACAGGTGCGCGTGTGTGCGCCAGACCTGGCCTGCAGCTTGCGCATGGCCTCTTCATCCTGCTTGGCCTGCCTCTCGTCTTCCAAGGCTTCCTCCAGTTGGCGGTACATGTCCTCCAACTCGCGGACACGCTGCAGGTACTGCTCCAGTTCACTGGACTGCTGGGCCACCTGCTTCTCCATCTGCTGACGCACCTGCACAAGCAAACACACACGCACTCGATGATACTAGTGTTGTGTTGTTCCCGCCTTTCATTTGCCTCCCACCCGACCAAAGCCGTGCTCAAATGCTAACCCAAGAGGCATTACGTGCAGCCGTGCCTTGAGATACGAGTGACTCAAATTACAGTACAAATTGTTCGAGATACTTGCTGTTGGTCAGCCCATGTGTTGCTTTGACTTGCAAGCAAAAACTTGAGATACAAGTTGTTTAAAAAATACAAAAGTGAAAAGTTGGATCAAGTCAAAATTTCAAAGGAAAAAACTAGAATGAAATTTTGAGCTGGTCAGTTTAACTTTTTTGTTGTTGAGAATTACAAGGTATATATTTACAACAACTTCGCCTCTGGAAAGGATGTTTAGCTTAATGCCAACTAACAATGTAAAATGCCCTAGAGGGGCTAACAAATTTGTGTCGCTATGCAACAGGTATTAGAACCCAAATGATACACACTGATAATATAGCAACACCCGCAGGCATCTATTATTTATCCTCTGCAAAAAATATTTTGAACAGTAAATACAAAATACCACAAGGTGGCAGTATCACTCTGCAAACACCAACATTCCCTTCTTTATTTTGTGTCCACCGATGTCTTCCAGAGGATTTCTACTTAATCTTTATTTTACTTACTTGTATTATATTTTTCTTTAAACTTGTATGATGGTTATGATGTTACTGGAAACATTAAAAGAAGAGTTGAGGGTGTAATGATGCGGATTATTATTTCCGAAGAAAAATCTAAATATGAAATGGTTTCCAGGTGCAACGATTAATCAACAAAGAATCGATTATCAAATAATCAGTAATTATTTTGATCACTGATGAATCCTTTTGAGACTTTGTTTCATTTCAAATTCCCCACAGGATGCACCCAAATCCTTTTGTGTCGTCTCTGATCAAGTAGAGCTCACGAATCTGACACGCACACACGCAGATGAGTCAACATCATCTTTACGCTTGTCCTTCCTGGAAGAACGGAGCCACACATGAATGATGGCAGGAGCCCAAAAATAAAACGGCTCCGTGTGTTCACCATTTTCTCTCTCTCCAGGTCCAGTCTGAAGCGATCCTGCAGATCTAGCTGAGTCTTCTTCCTCCTCTCTTCCTCGGTCGCCGCTTCAACAGCGACCGCCTCCATTTTCTGTCGGCAAAGAATCACATCAGGCCACATGGAGACAGATTTTAACTGAGCGCGGCGTGTTATTGTGGGAAATGGCACTCCATAAAAATCACCATATTGATAGTAAATGATTTGTTGTCCTATTTTAACCTAAACGGGGTCATGGTGAAACGGGACGTGACCAAAAAGCTCACATTGCAGGTGGCTATGGTACAAGATGCTATTTGCATCGAGGTTTCACTTCCCTCTTTAGCG